AGTCAACTCGACTTTGAGGAGACAGCTTTTTCCCATTTGTATATTAAGTACTTTTCAGCCTGATGGGTTCACCTTTCAGCACTCTATCTGACAATATTCTGGTGTGATCTGACAGTATTCCCTTGCTATTCATAAAATTTTCAGTGCTTCTCTTTTTCCCTATCTGTCTTATTCTGTAAACCAAGATAAAACCTGTCCACCATGGGTGGACCTTGTTGGTATTTAAAATACTGGTAACATAGCTTCCTGCATCACAAACTGCTAGATGAGTGGTGAAAATATTTTATTAGGTGATAATAAGTACTATGAAGAAAAATAGACTAGAGTAAAATCATAGAATATGATGGAGAGTACTGCTTCAGATGATGTGGTCTTGGAAGGCCTCTATGAGGAAGTGGCATATGAACAGATACTAGAATTAATCAAAAGAACAAACTTGAAAAATATTTGGCATTTCGAAAAGTTCTAGATGAGGGACAAGTAAAGCAAAGGCCTTTAAGTTAGGAAAAACATCAAGGAGACCAATGTGGTTAAATACCACATTGGAAGTGTGGAAGAAATGAGATTGGTGCATGGGAGATATGAGTAGTGGTAGTAATGGGTCTGGGAGGCAGATCATGAAGGACCTTGTAAAATATGGCAAGAACTTCAGGTTTTATTTTTAGTTTGATGAAAAATTATTGGAACATTTTGGGCAGAGGAGTGACATCTGAATTATGTTTAAAAGGTTCAAAACAAATGCTGTCTAGGTAATAGTTTTTGTGGGGAGCACAAGTAGACTCATAACAGAAAGATCAATTATGAGATTGTAAATAATCCAGGCCAGAGATGTGGGTCACTTAAACTACAATGGTAGTCCTGAAGCTAGTAATCAATATTTAGTGTCTGGAAATATTTGAATTAGAACCAAGAACCAAGAGAATTGATGAGGGATTGAATTTAAGAATGTAAAGAGTCCTGGTGTAGTGCCATGGGATAAGCACTTTACTGCAAGGTTGGTTTGAACTGCAAGATTGGCAGTTCAGACTCATCAGCCACTCCTTGGAAACCCTACACAGGATCGCTATGAGTTGGGACCAACTTGACGACACTTACCAACAACAACATGTGAGAAAGAGAGTAGTTGGACATTATTCTAAAGTTTTTAATCTTGAGTTACATGAATGGAAGTACCATTTATTAAATGGGACCAGTGACAGAAATATCAAGCTTAAACAGAATATATAACTGTTCTCTACAAGGAAATCAAGGGATATATGATGAATTGTGATAGTGAGTGGTTCTCTCCTTTGAAGAATAAGAGTCCTGCTTGCCATGCCACGACTAGCTTCAGATTGCTTCCAAATAAGCCTCTTTCTCTCTTTTTTTTCTTATAAATTTTGCTTGCATGATGATAGCTTATGATCATTTAAAAATCATTTTAAAAGAAAAGCCTTAGCATGAATACTTGAAGAATCTTTACAATTTTATGTTTTCTGGGTTGGTAAAGAACCTCCTCCACCTTCTAGATATTAATTAATTGCTTGCTACACTAAATTAAAAGATGATTCAATCCCATTTTCAAACTTGACATTATTATAATGGTGTGTATGTGTATTGTATGTAAGGGAAATTGCATGAAATGAAAATCATGGTTTGTCTATCAGAAAGTAGAGGTAAATACTAGGAACAATAAGAATAGGATTTGGACCCTTACTCTATAATTGTCAACAAATCACTCTATCTTTGCCAGCCTTTGTTTTCCTATCTGTGAAATGGGAATAATGCTTACTTAATTCACATAATTATTGTGAAGGTGAAATGAGTTCATGTATGCTTAGACCTAACACAGAACTGATACATCAGCCCATTCAATAAAAGTTTATGGAGTCTGAATCTCAACAAAGACAACATGAAATGCTCACAAAAATTTAGAGAAATCTGTAGTAGAGAAAATTTGTGGAAAAATTCTGTTCTTAACTACAAGTCACTCTTTTCAAAATCATCGTGCATGTATTAACATACATATTTTAAAGACTATTTTACGTTTACTGAATGTTCATGTTTACTTTGCAGGTATTGGTTGGCCTTGAAAAAGGGTCTCCATCTGGCTTTCAAACCCAGCAACAAAGCTAGTGACTGCACGGAAGGACAAATTGATGCACATGAAGAACTTAAATATAATGTGACTGATTTGACCATGCTCAGGTTGTTTGAGACATACCTGGAAGGCTGCCCACAACTCATTCTTCAGCTCTATATCCTTATGGACCATGATCAAATGAATGCCAGTCAGTGTAAGTCTTTGTCAATGTCTTGTGTTAGGTGGATACCACTAATGTCTTACATTAACTACATCACTCTGCAACAAATTTTAGAATTAAATATTTTTTCTTATAAAAAGTATTTTTTTTAAAGAGGAAATAGTTGTACAGTTAAATGTCAAGAAGTATAAAAAAGATTTATTTACTCCTTTCCTTTCCTCCCAATCTATTTCTTCATCTGCTCCCAAAGTAAACTATTATTGTTAGTTTTTTGTTGATTCTGTTGGCAAAGAACAAGGCACTGGGAATTGATGGAATGTAGTTTTTAAAAAAGAGAATGAAAACATTGGACAATAATAATATATAAGTAAGGCAGGGGATGGTACAAATGGTTAATGTGCTCACCTGCTAATTTAAAAGTTGGAAATTGGAGTCCACCCAAGATACTTCAGAAGAAAGGCCTGGTAAGCTACTTTTGAAAAATCAGCCATTGAAACCCCTAAGGTACAACGCTCTACTCGGACACACATGGGGTTGACACTAGCTATTATTGATTTAACAGTAACTTTTTTGTTGCTTTTGTTTTTTCCAGGTAGGGGATAAATGGAGTTAAAATCTTTTACATTTTTTTTTGTAGGGTTCAGGAGAAAGGTTAAGCAGAGGTGGATACACATCTGTTTTTTTTGGGTGTACAACAAAAATTTTAGAGAGATACTAATAAAAAAAAGTTATGAAAACAATTTTTATTTCAAATAAGATTAAATTACAGATATATAAAAGCTGACACACCATAAATTTCACAAAATGAAGAAAAGTAGTATTTTTATTTTAATACTCTTTTATCTAAATTTTTGATGGCATACGCTTTGATTGGTTCTTGAGTTAACAATGATTTTATGATATTTTTTATAGGATATTTCCTTTAGTATAGTTGGTTATATTTTTCTAAAAAATTATTTTAAATTTAGAAGTTAATTAAATGGTTGTTGTTGTCAAATGCTGTCTAGTTGGTTCTACCTCCTAGCGACCCTGTGTAGGGTTTGCAAAGAGTGGCTGGTGAGTGTGAACCACCAACCTTGTGGTTTAAACTGACCTTGCAGTCCAGTGCTTTATCTCACAATGCCACACCAGGACTCCTAACTAAATGGAGGCAGAGGTAAATGGAACAAGATGTGTATGTATATGTGTGCATACTAAATTTTCATCTTTCAAAATAGGAAATTAATAATGTCTAAAACAGATAAGTTACAAAATAGTAGAATGTATATTTTATTTAGAAATATAGCAGTAAATCTCAGAAGAAACACTTTAGGAGTTGAATGTGATTTCTTCTGCAGTATTGTAAGTATAGATTACAAAATAAGCAAGGTAAGCATGGGTTTACTTAATAATCTGGAGTCCTGATGTATGTAGTGCTATAGGACAAGCATTGCACTACTACACAGGTTTAGTGGTTCAGACTTACCAGCTACTCCTCAGAAACTCTATTCAGGCTCGTTATGAGTAGGAACTGACTCCAAAGTGCTTAATATCAACAACACTTAGTAATTTGTCATGTTCACTAGAAGCCTGTGCTTATCTTTCTTATTAGGTAATATACCTCAGAGTATGACTGAGGAAAGGTAGAGCAAGGTACTCTTGTTTTCTTATTAGCTCTACAGTATTTTCTGACTTTTAAAATCAATGTACACTTGTATATGTGGTTGTTTGGTAAAAATTAAAATCAATTACAATTATGAATGACATGTGGCACTAAGTCATTCCTCCCATAGCACTCTCTACTTCTCTGTTGGGTTCGATAATCTATTACAATAGCCACACAGAACTCAGAGACAATATTCACAGTTGTGGGGTTTATTAAGGAGCTCTGATAGCGTAGTGGTTACGAGTCGGGCTGCCAACCTCAAGGTCAGCAGTTCGAAACTACCAGCAGTTCCACGGGAGAAAGATGAGGCGTTCTGCTCCTGTAAATATTTACAGCCTTGGAAACTCTGTGCAGAGTCACTGTTAATCGGAACCGACTCCACGGTACTTAACAACAACAACAACATGGGGTTTATTAGAGAAGTTAACAGATTACAATTTGGGGTCAGAAATGTTCAGGGAACAGTGTTGTTCCAGTCATAGGCTGATAAATGCCAATAGGACACACCACTCTACCATAAGCCTCGGCCTGAAGGCACTTGGTTCTGTCTCTGTGGGTCAGCAAACCTAGCTTCCTAACTTAAGTGCTTGGAGGAATCCCATTCTGCAAGCAACATTCCTACCTAAAGTAACTCAGTATTACTTGCTCCATGGGCTGGCAAGTCCACTGCTTTGTCTCATGCTCTGGTTCTTGGTTCTGCTGCTGCTTTGCCTCTGCTACTCCACTGTTGTAACGGCTTTCTTTTTCTGGTTCAAGGAGGTTCATTGTGCAGGGATCTAAGGGTCCAAAGGACATGCGCCCCTCCTGGCTCTTCTTCTTTGATGGTAATGAGGTCTTCCTCCTGCTTCTGAGGTGGCTCATTTTAAACCCATGTTAGAGTTCCAAGATTTCACAATTACAATGAACTCTGCTAACATGATCCACAGCTGAATCATGTTCATCCTATAATATCTTCTCCCAGCTTAACTTATCCAGACCTAGCAGAGCAGAAACATTGTTTGGTTGGAGTTACAGCCTCTGACTAAAAGCGATATTAGATGATTCACTTTACCACACCAATTATTAAATAAAAAGGGATATTATAGGGCAACTTAGGGGAAACTGATGTTTTAATTAAAATATTTCTTTTAAAATAAAATATTAATTCAAACTAGTTGAGAGGTCCATGTGGTTTATACTTCTAAAATTAAATATGCAGGCCTCTAATTAAGCTTAGTGGAAATGACTAGCACTTGGTTTTGCTCTAAACTATATTGGTTTTTTTTTTTTCTCAAATCTTTGCATTCACTTTTATAAAAGCCTCCATGTTGAAATTGGGAATAATGACTTATCTTTCCAAAGTAGTAATGAACTTAGTTTTCTGATATTGGTAGACAAAAAAAATGGGGTAAAGATGTCAAAGTTATAGACAATAATAACTTTTAGAACTTATTTGATCCATCATATTCAAGGTAAGGAAAAATGAGCTTTTTGATACCTCTTACTTAGGTTAAATTTTCTGTTTAAAATCTCTATCTTTGCATTTTGTGATGCTGTTTCTTAGTGAATTAGGTATATGTGCAAAGTAAAAGTAAAAAAGGCAAGGAAAACTAGGACTAGGGGTACAGTCCCTTAACTCATACCAGAGTATGAACTGTTTCCATTATATCAGTTGCTCAATAAATACTTTGTTATTTTTTCAAAATAATTAAAGAGAGTCTAAAATAATGGCCAAGTCCACAAAGGCCAAAATATGACATTGAACATATCCCATCTGAACTTAGAGATCAGGTCAAGAGCAGATTTGATGTATTAGATTCCAGTGACCATAGACCAGAAGAATTGTGGGATGACATCAAGAACATCACACAGAAAGAAAGTAAAAGGTCAATAAGAAGATAAGAAAGAAAGAAATGACCAAAATAGATTTCATAAGAGACCCTGAAACTTGCTCTCTAGCATAGAGATGCTAAAGCAAATGGAAGACATGAGGAGGTAAAAGAGCTGAACAGAATATTTCAAAATGCAGCTCGAGAAGAAAACGTCAAATATTATAATAAAATTTGCGAAGACCAGGAGTTAGTAAACCAAAAGGGATGATCACACTAAGCATTTCTCAAGTTGAGGGAACTGAAGAAAAAATTCAAGTCTCAAGTTACAATACTGAAGGATTATATGGGCAAAAATGTAGTGTTGGTGTGGTGCTGTGGGATAAAGCAATGGACAGCAAGGTCAGTTTAAACCACAAAGTCAGTGGTTCAAACTCACCAACTGATCCTTGGAGACGTTATCCAGGTTTGCTATGAGTTGGAACTGACTCGATGGCGCTTAACAACAACAGTGGGAAAAATATTGAATCATGCAGAAAGCATCAAAATAAGATGGAAGGAGTACACAGATTCACTGTACCAAAAAGAAATGGTTGATGTTCAGCCATTTCAAGAAGTAGCGTCTGATCAAGAGCCTATGATACTGAAGGAAGAAGTCCAAGGTGCACTGAAGGTATTGGCAAAGATCAAGGATCCAGGAATTGATGTAATACAAAGTGAAATCTTTTAACAAACTGAGGTAGTCCTGGAGGTACTAACTCATCTTTGCCAAGACATTTGGAAGACAGCTTCCTGGCCAACTGATTGGAAGAGATCCACTTTTGTGCCCATTCCAAAGAGAGGTGATCCAGCGGAATGTGGAAATCATTGGACGATATAATTAATATTGTATGCAAGTAAAATTTTGCTATAGATAATTAAAAACTGACTGCAGCAGTACATTGAGAGGGAGCTGCTAGAGATTCAGGCTGGATTCAGACAGAGATGTGAATATCATTGCTGATGTCAGATGGATCTTGCTGAAAGCAGAGAATACCAGAAATATGTTTACTTATGCTTTATTGACTGTGCATATGTTTTTTTTTTAAAGGTTCTTGTCTTTGTAGTCCCCCCATTTTGGGTAGCCAGTGTCCAAGTTGCCCATCCCTGTCTACTCTGTGTATGGAGGGGGTGGGAATGATCCAAGCTTTAAAAATTTGTTCCCTCTTGTGAGCTACTGCATCCATAGGTATAGGTTAAGTTCATCAAAATGTATCAGATTACTCTTTTTTCCCTCTTCTTTCTTCTTCTAGTTGAGCTCTGAGCATCCAGTCATTGAAGCCAGGTCAAGTGGGTATTATCTGCAAGTGTGAGTGTTCTGGTGCATATGCCCTCTCTTCTTATCAGCTGGACACTTCACTCTCCACTCTAGTCCTCTGTGGCTATGTCACTGACCCATGAGTCTGGGCCCATGAGTTCCCAGGTCTTGCCACCCTGCTGGCCAACCAGGTTTCCTCCTGGGTTCATAGGAGTCTATTGAACGTTGTAGGGCTTAGCTCACAGCTTCATTGCTGTTTTTCCCTCACTTCCCATTATAAGTGATGAACGTGGTCAACAATTAGAGTGGATGTCTGCTCATGTATTCCCACTGAGTCTTAGTCTTGGAAGGGGTTTGCTTTGAGGGGACCTGACCACTTGCCTTGATGTCTCCTGGGCTAGCAACTTGCTTGTTCTTGTAGTAATCAGTTGGACTGCCTTTATGGTTTTGTATTTTTCCTGTCCACATATGCTTTTAATTGTGTGGATCATGACAAGCGATGGACAACTTTGTGGAGAATTAGTATTCTGGAACATTGATTGTGTTCATAGGATCCTGTACATAGACCAAGAGGCAGTCATTCAAACATAATAAAGGAACACTGAATGGTGTAAAATTAGGAAAGGTGTGCACCAGGGTTGTATCCTTTTGACATGCTTATTAAATCTGTGTGTTGAGCAAATAATCCAAGAAGGTGGATTATATGAAGAAGAACATGGAATCAGGATTGGAGGAAGACTCGTTAATAACTTGTGATATGCATATGCTACAGCCTGGCTTGCTGAAAGTGAAGAGGACTTAAAATACTTACTGATGAAAATCAAACGCCACAGCTTTAGTATGGGTTGCATCTCTATACAAAGAAAACAAAAATTCTCACCACTGGACCAATAAATAACATCAAGATAAATGGAGAAAAGATTGAAGTGGTCAAAGACTTCATTTTGCTCAGATCAACCATCAACACTCATTGAAACAGCATTCAAGAAACCAAACAACATATTGCAATAGGCAAATCTAGTTTACAAGACCCCTATAAAGTGTCCAAGAGCTATGATGTCAGTTTGAGGACTAAGGTCTGCCCAAGCCATGGTATTTTCTGTAGCTTCATATGCATGTGAAAGTTGTATAATGAATAAGGAAGACCATAGGAGAATTGATGCATTGGAGTTATAGTGTTATAGGAGAATATTTAAAGTACCATAGACTGCCAGAAGAACAAACAAATCTGTTTTGCAAGAAGTACACCTAGAATGACCCTCAGAAGCCAGGATGACCTGACTTAGTCTCTCATACCTTGGACATATTATTAGGTGGGACCAGTCCCCAGAGAAGGACATCATGCTTGGTAAAGTGGAGGGTAAGCAAAAAAGAGGAAGATCCCCAATGAGATGGATTGGCACAGTGGCAGCAAATTGGGCTAAGCATAACGATTGTGAGATTGGTGCAGGATTGGGCAGTGTTTTACTCTGTTGTGCAGAAGGTATCTATGAAGTTGGTACCAATTCGACAACACCTAACAACAATAGCAATATCAACTTTGGATTCAGGGTGATTTAGCTATGTTACTTGGATCAAGTAATGTATCTTTTGCAAGCCTTAGTTCCCTGATAATAATATGGGAGAGCTCTGGTAGCGTAGTAGTTATGAATTGGGCTGCGAACCGCAAGGTCAGCAGTTCGAAACTACCAGCTGCTCTGCGGGAGAAAGATGAGGCTTTCTGCTCCCGTAAAGATTTACAGCCTTGGAAACCCTGTTCAAGGTCGCTATGGGTCAGAACCGACTTAACAACACTTAACAACAACAACAAAAATATCTACTTCAAAGGGCTAGATGAGATGAGTGTATAAAGTACCTAACATCTGTTTGTGATTGTGTGTTTACAAATAGAGCCACATGTGGCTTAGTTGTTAAGTGCTGTGAAGTTGGTTCTGACTCATAGCAACCTGTATAAGGTTTCCAAGGAGCAGCTGGTGGGTTTGAATCACCCACCTTATGATTAGCCGTTCAGTGATTACCCTACAGTGCCACACCAGACCTCCATGTGTGGCATATAGTACATTTAATATTGTTATTACTATTCCTTTAACAGTATATTTTTTCATTTTTTGTTTTCTAGATGCAGCTATATTTGTCTCTTGCTGTGCTATTTCTTGTTCGACTGTTGATTATCAAAAAGCTCTGAGGAATTCCTTGCCTGATAAAAATACCCTTAAACGATGCCCCAGATGTATATATTTCGTTTACAAGTTGCTTACATTATTATCTTGGATGTTGAGTGTTGTACTTCTTCTGTTGTTAAATGTTAAGATTGCTTTATTTCTGTTATTATTTCTTTGGTTTTTGGGTATAATGTGGGCATTTAAAGAGCAGACTCAGTTTTGTGCTTCCAGAGGTATGGAATTGTTATACAGGGTTGTTGTTGGATTCATTCTGGTTTTTACATTTTTTAATATTAAGGGACAGAATACCAAATGTCCAATGTTTTGTTACTATGTTTTAAGGGTACTGGCCACATTGTGGATATTGATTATGTTCTGGGTCTGCCCACCCATTGACTTAAATTCAGAGTATTTCGTAATCATCAGTATCACTACAGCTCTTATTCTTTTTCTTGGAATTATTTTTCTTATTGTTTATTATGGGAATTTACACCCAAGTAAAAGTGAAGAAAAGATACCTGATGAAATTGATGGAAAACCAGTTCAAAAAGATTGTAGAATGAGGCATTTCTTAATGGAATAAGCTATTCTTTACAAAATATTTTATTTTGTGTTTCATTAGTTAGTAAAGAAAAAGTTGTACTTGTGTTATGTCTATTATTTTTGTCCCTTCTAATCTTGGTGTGATGCTGTAGGATAAGCACTGAACAGCAAGATTGGTTTGAACTGCAAGGTTGGTGGTTCAAACCCACCAGCCATTCCTCAGAAACCCTTTACAGGGTTGTTATGAGTCAAAACTAACTTGATGGCACTTAACAACAACAAGAGTATTTTGAGATAAGTTCCAGTACATTAATTGTGACTGTGAGAGGTAAAGCATAATGACATTTTTATTATTTAAAGTATTGTCTCATTTGGTTTTAAAGATCTTGGATACTCAGATGCTTGCCTTGTGCCTTATAGTGCTGCTATTTTGAACATGACTTGGAAAAAGTGGTCTGGCCTTATAATTATTAAAAGACTTTCCTCTAACTTCTCCTTAATTGTTCCTGAACTCAAACTGATATTCCAGTTGTGGGGAACTGGAAAGAAAATAGAAAGAAGAATATTCTGCCTTTTCCCTTGATTGTCTTGATTCAGTGTATACATTTTGAGTTGGGGATACCTTGAGTAGAGAAAAGGGAAAATGAAAAAAAAAAGATAAGTTCTTGTTGAGTATCTGCTCCTTTCCTGGAATGCCCCAATTCAATAAGTACAAAAGGGAACTGGAATTATATTTGAGAGGACTATTGAAAATTTCATTATTTTTAAGCTGTTTGAATTAATACACTCAAATAAAATGGATACTGATTCTGTTTGTGCTAAAATGGTTGTAACTAAATATATTTTTAAAATTGGTTTATGAATAATTTCTTCTAGTAAGAAGTAAATTTTGACCCTTGGGCTATAGGGAAAACAATTGGATTTGACTAAACTCTTGGAATTAATGAAGAATTTTCCATCAAACTCTCCTTTTTTCCCTCAGCACTTCATTCTTTCTTTTCTTTGGGTAAGCCCTTAATAAACAAGTCCTCAAATAATAGTTTTCTCATTATAATTTCTAAAAACTTACAGTTAAATATTTAATCTTAAAATGTAATATAAAACTGTCACATAGCTCTTGGTGTAGTACTGTAGGATAAGTATTGGACTGTGAGCGACAAGGTCAGCAGTTCAAACCCACCAGCCACTCCTTGGAAACCCTTCACAGGAACTTGCTCAATGGTACTTAACAACAACAACAACATACAGCTCTTGAAAAGAAGGGTGAACTTAAGCATTTTTAAGCTGTCAAAGGTGTTTGGAGGCAGTAAGTAAATCTGAAACACTATGTGTGCCTTTTGCTAGGCACTGTTGTGAATCCAAAACTTGTTTAGAATTAAAGTCTATTTCTTGAGAAGGTTGCAGATGGAAGTACCTACAGAAATGGACAAGCTATTTTTCAGAACGTTTAATGTTTGCCGTTTTTCTTTTGTAGTAAATGAAATGTCATTCATCTGTTATTTTGTTGTAATGTGGTGGCTTGCAT